CCTTGCTGACCAGCCCAGCAGAGTGGTTATTATGAAGAGGCTGTTAGGGCTGAGATTGCCTGGGTTCAGTCCCAGCTTCTCTGCTTTTGACAGTGAGTTGGGAAGTATGCCTCTCTCTACCTTGCTCTCTTCCTCCTCAGAGAAGGAGGTGACAGGACTCTCCTCCCTTGTCCTCAGAACAATTAGATGAGAAATGGTACTCTGGGTGCCAGCAGGGCCTCAAGACCTGTTGCTATTGCTGTCACTCTCATTGTTTTATTAGCTGTGAAGGAGCTAAGGCCATGTGTGTGTGCCCGGAGGCAAGGGACTAGTCCCTGAGTCCCCATCTCTAAGCTCCCAGCCTGCAGTCCCCCTGGCTTCATCAGTGAGTGATCGACAGGCTGGGCTGAGGGCGTCCTGGCAGGCCTGTCCTGGCAGCTGCTCCCACAAGGCGAGGCCCTGATTGCTGCGAGAATTAATTAGGCTGCATTCCTCTTGCAGGGCTGCTGGCGGGCCTGCACATAGCCCCCTTCTGAGCTGCCGAGGGCTCTTGGCTGGGATCCCTGGCAGGCCAAGGCAAGGCCTGCACTGTGCTTACCCCAGAGAGGGGCTGGGAGGCCTCTGTGAGCTGGAAGCCCTGGCCAAGGAAGGGCCAATGATAAGCCAGCAGCTCAAGGCCCACTCCTGTCCTGGTGCTCCCTTGCTTAGCCATCTTTGCCAGCCCCTCATCACTCAACATCAAATTCCTGGCATTGGATGCTATCCCCAGCCTGGCCCCTGCCGCCCAGGCAGGCTGCTGCTCCCTGGACCCTGCCATGTTCTGACACGCTTGCCCATCCCTCCTCCCCCCTGTAATGCCCTGTCCTTCAATCGCACATTTCTCAGCATCCCTTGTCCCTTCCCATTGTCCGTCATCTTCTCCTGGGAAGTGTGGGAAGTGACAGTTGCTGGCGGTGTACCTCACCTCCGGTACCACCCCATATCAGGAATCCAAGTCTCAATATGTGCTCAGGAAGGCACACCAGCCTTCCCCACAGCCCTCCTTCTTTGATTCCTGAGATTGTGGCTGAGGGTAGCTCCCTTCTTCTGAAGAGGAGAAGGTTCCTGTGCTTGGAACCCTCATCTCTACCATCCTGTGGATCCTGGCCTACATGTCACCTCTTCCAGGAAGCCACCTTGGGTTCCCCTCCCTCAAGGGTTTCCTCTCAGTGCTTGTTCCTTATCAGAGGGATGGGAGAATATAGAAGCTAAGAGCCTGGGGTTTCAATTCTACCTTAGCCACAGCATGGCTGTGTGACTGGACAAGTTATAGAACCACTCTGTGTCTCAGTTACCTATCACAATTTTGTTTTTTGGTGCCAGTCCTGGGGCTTGAGCTCAAGTCTGGGCAATGTCCCTGAGATTGTTTTGCTCAAGGCTAGCATTCTACCACTTGAGCTATAGCCTACCTCCAGCTTTTTTTTTGGTGTTTAAACCATGATCCTCAGAGCTCAGCCTTCTGAGTTGCTATGATTACAGGTATGAGCCACCAGTGCCCTGCTCAACTTTTAAGTGGTTGTACAAAGGAACTGCCATTTGACAAAACAGTATATGAATATAATCCATCTTGATCAAAAGTCTTTGTATGTTGCCTGGGCTGGTTCTGAATTCTGGAGTTCCAATGATCTTCCCGCTTCAGTTTCCCAAGAAGCTGGCACTACAGGTGCATACTACCATACCCAATGTACGCCTCATCTGTGACATGGGAATACAAATGCTGGAACTGGCTGCCTAAGATAGTTACGAGGAATCACAGTTAGTATGTGCAAAGCACTGGTAAGCCCTTGATAAACAGGAGTCTCTATTTTCCCTAATGCTGAGGCTTGGCCTTTCAGGCAGGGGTAGCTTCTGTCTGTATAGCTCAGATTATCATCACTATTGGATGAATGGATGGCCATATTCCAGGAATTTACTGCCCTGATGATAGGCAAATGACTTATCTGAACCTACCCTGGACTTTCTTTGAAGAGAGAGAGAAAAAAAAGAGGGTGAAAAGGAGAGAGATTTTGAATTTGTAGCAGGATGGTGGGCGGGTGGAGTCAAACTAAGACCCAGCCTGTAGCCTCCCTGGCCTGGCTGGCACCAGGTGCAGAACTAAGGTACAGCTCTATCGGTTCCCCACCTCAGCTCTCCTGTGTCTGTAACCAGAATAAATCTGGGTCATCCTGTGCCCCCTTCTGGTCTATCTCTGCCTCTAGAGTTCCAGCCAAGGTAACATGTATTTGATTCAGAAAACCTTGGAAAAATCTTACTGTTTACTGGGAAAAATAGAAGTTTTCATTCTACAAAAATGTAAATTTTCTCAAATGTAGATCCAGTTCTTCCCAGAGGTCAACCAGATAGTGGCTCCTCATACATTCTCTGCTTTCTGTCATTCCCCACCTACCACCCAGACCCAACTGCCCAGAGTCTAGCAGCACCCACAGACTTTGGGCAGTCTGACCCCTCACTCCCTGGCCCTGCACACTATTTGTCCCTTGGAGAGAAGAGGGACTGGATGTGGGCCAAGATGGGGACGCCAGAAGTCCAAGGCCCAAAGGCTAAGAATCTGAGAGCTCCTGAGCCACTGTTACCCAAATCTATCTCCTTTTCTCCCTCAAACTACTGCTCAGTCATTTGGGCTACTGACCTCTGACCCTGATCATGGCCCTGTGCAAGGGCAGTGAGCATCTGCTTTCTCCAGAATTCCACTGCCAGGACCTTCAGCCTCTGCCAAGATCCCCCCCTTATGCAGCCCTGTGGCTGCATGCTTGGTGTATCCAAAGGGGCAGGGCCATTTTCAATGGGTGGCTATGATGCTGGGTCAGAACCAGGTGAAGTCTCAGCAGGAGAGGATGCTGGGCTGGGCAACAAATGACCAGGCTGGCCAGAACCCTGTGGACCCTGCAAAGTGGGAGTGACTCACCTGAAAAGGCTGTAGTTTCAGGGCCCAGACCTGATATTTGCTGGCTCATAAGAGGAAGTCTAACTTCTCAGCTTGGCCTTCAAGGCCTCTCCAACTTGGTCTTCCATTCTCTCTTGCCTGCTCCAGCCCAAAGAGGCCCTGGTGAAGACCCCCCCCATCTCCCCTTGTCTGGACCCTCTCCCTGTTTTCCTCTAACTTATTAGAGTCTGGCTCATGTTTTGAGACAACATGAGCTCCACCTTCATGCAGGATCCTTTCTCTGACCACCTGTGCCCTAGCCAGCTCCAATCTCTCCCTCATACTGGTCTTCCTTTGGCTCTGTCCCCATCCTGTGCATTATGTAATCACCTTTGGCAGCCTGACAAGCAAACTCTGCTTCTTCTCAGGCTCCAGGCTCAGCCTGGCACCAGAGCTCACCTGTCTCATGCTTGCATCAGCACTTGGATTTGGAGCCCACGACTTCCCATTTTCTGGGTGAAAAAACTGAGGCTCAGAAAGAGCTTTGTTCAAAGTCATGCATGAGTGGCGATCCATGGATTCAATCACATGTACACCAATGCTGCAGCTAGCAGGTTGGAGTTCTCACCCTGATGCCATCCCTTCATACTACCGTTACCCCCAAATTGTCACTTGCCTCCTCTGTGCACCACTGTCCTCATATATACCTGCATCCCAGTGTTGTGTGATGACCAAATGAGTTAATCTGGATGAAGCCTGGTGTATGCCAGTATACAACGTGAGCTCAATAGATGTCAACATGTTATTCTTCCATGAAGCAGCCAGGGTTGGTTTTGTGGGCAAGGGTTAGAGCACTATGTAAATGATTATTGCTTAGTCTATACATATTTCCTGCGAGCTGGCTCAGGTCACAGCCTGCCGCACCCAGCCTAGCCCAGGTGTGGGGAAAGGACTCCACCTGTCCAAAGGGAGATTTGGTGGAAATGGGGACAGTGGATCCAGGTAGCTACCAGCAGAAATGACCTGGGCTGTCCCTGGCCCAAAGGGCTGCATGGGCTCCAGCAGGCTTGGAGCTTGAGCTAGAGTCCCAGCCTTCTTCTGTTAGAGAAGTGCCAAACTCCTTTGCTCTGGGCCTTGTAGTCAGCTCCTGGCAGGACAGGATGGGGCAACTGGGGCAGAAATAGGCCTCTGAACCCTCAAAGTTTTGGCTTCTCCTAAATGCACTCTGGGGCAAGGCCTGCTGCCCGTTGGTTTCTGGGCTATTGGTGGCAACCTAGATCCCAGAATCCCATTTTCACAACTGCAGATCGCTGCTTCAGTGCACAAGAGGCAAAAGCCCAGAGAAAGTAGGTTAGCAACCTGAAATGGCTAGCAGGAGAGGCAGCGGAAACTGAGGTTCTAGCCAACCACCTTGGGCCCTTCCCTCCCATTCCTAAGAGAGACTTATCACCGCTGCTCATCTAAAACCAAAAAAAAAAAAACCCCAGAACATCATGTCATCATTTATTATAAACAGAAGTTTGCAGGTAAACAATTGAAATTGTTAAAAAATACATTAAAATAAATAATTGAGATTCTCAAAGTTCTCAGAACAAATAAGTTATATACAGATAGGTGAAGCCCAACAGGGTCTTCTCACCAGCAGTGTCCCCAGGGAATAAGGGCACAAAGACTCTCAGGGATGGGAAGTTGGAGAGGACAATAGGAGCCAGCCAGGAATTCAGCCCTGGGGGGACCTGTCCAGCCTCTAGGTCTGCTTAGGCATGTCTGTGCCCTGGTGCACAGATGCTCTTGGATTGTGGCCAAACAGACAGGACATGGCCTCCAGGTTCATGTCCACCCCACGCAGCTCCTTCAAGCAGGGCCGTGGCTGGCAGCCAGCGCTGGGAGGCTGCTCTACCTTGCAGAGGCTGAGGGGTTTCCTGATGGTATGAGGGTGCAAAACAGCCAGGATAGACTTCCTCACCAGAGTGGGGTGACCAGAGCTTGCACTAACCCCAACAGTTGGGTCCAACAGGCCAACACCCAGACCCTGGCCCAGGAGACAGTCAGAGCATCTCCCTTGAGCTGCCCGATCTCTATATGGGCTTCCTTCTCAACCTTCCTCTGGCGCATGGCGCTATCTCTTCCTCCACCTGGAGTGTGCAGGCCTGGGTTTTGTCATCATCTGCTGCTGTTGCTGGGCCAAGTGGACCTTGGAGGCAGAAATGTCCCTGGAAATTGAGAAGGATTGACTTAGCATTTCAGGAGATTGACACTACCCAAGATGAGAGACAGAGATTAGAGCTCTTGTTTGGGTCCTGGCTTGTGGACACTTTGGAATAGAAGGTGGGCCACAGCCTGTGAATAGGGTCTACCCAGCAAAGTCAAGGCCATACGAGGCCTGGAAGCTTCTCTGCCCATGGAGGCTTACAAAGCTCCCACTCTGAAAGAACGATGGATGATACAGCCAAGGATGACCCAGGTATTGCCCATGTCTGCCCTTTCTCTTCTGCATCTCCCTTTTGTGCCCTTCCCAGCTATTTACCTTCCTCTCATCCAAACTGTTCCTTCTCTAATGCCACCATGCTGCTGCTCAAGGTGCTGCATCTCAAACAATCTGGCCCAGTTGACCTTTGAACCCAGCCAGGGTCCTGGAAAGGACACTGGCAATTTCTAAGTGTCCAATTCCTGGCTAAAAGGGCCCTGGCTTGCTAGCAAGAAGAATGCCCTTAGACTCTGGCTGTGGGAATGTAGACAAGGGCTCTGGGACCCTCATAAAATGCAAAACAGGCCTTGACTACCGAGGGATGAGCACAAAGGGCAAAGGCAGGCAGCTCTGAGCACACTGTAAAGTGCTCTGCACAGGTGAAGCCTTAGCCACTCTGATGTTTTTTTCATCGTCAGGTGTGTGTGTGTGTGTGTGTGTGTGTGTGTGTGTGTGTGTGTACTAGGGCTTGAACGCAGGGCCTTGTACTCATGATTGGCTTTTTGTGCCCAAGGCTGTTGCTCTGCCACTTGAACCACAGCTCCACTTCTGGCTTACTGAGGGTTATTTGGAGATTAGAGTCTCATGGTAACTTATCTGCCTGGAATGGCCTTAAACCTGGATCCTCAGATCTCAGCCTCCCAAGTAGCGAGGATTACAGGTGTCACACTAGCACCTAGGCATGACAGTTCTTAAATATATGCCCACCACACCTTCTTGCCTTTTTCCCTGCCTCCCCCTCAAAAATGGGAATTCCTAATGGGCCACACTACCATTCAGCTCCAAAGAGCCCTCAGTAGCAAGAGTGGATATGTCAAAGACCCTCAAAGCTCTATGGGTGCCAAGCCCTGACTGACACACAGCATGTGCGTCAATACCCGTAGGATTTCATGGCCATCCTATGGGATGGACACTGCTGTTTCCACTTTTTAAAAATCAGAATCTGAATCACAGAGGAGTGGAATGGCAAGTCTGGAGTCACAAAGCTTGTCTGTGGCAGGGCTGGAGTCCTAGTCAGGCCCACTGTCCTGCCCTCTGCTGCATGGCCCCATGTGGAATTTCTCTTCTCCAATTAGTTTGGTTGGACAAGTGTTCCTGGGCCCCACCTGAAACCATGTGGGAGATGAGTGTGGGGATGAGGAGGAGCAGACTGGGCAGTCAGCCCCTCAGAGTCGTCCACCATGTGAACAACACTTGATTCTCAGTCGTGAGCCCCTAGGCCTGCTACAAAAAGTCCATACTCAGGCCTTGTGCAAACAGAGAGCACAAGGGTTCGGAACAGACTAGACTCAGCCAGATTCCACAGATGCTCTGCAACTTTGGGCAAGTGACTTTACCTCTCGGGGCCTCAGTTCTCTGGTCTCCCATGGAAAAGAAGGGACATGTGCAAGGTATGCAGGAAGTGCTCAGTCAGTGTCAGCCCCCTCACCTCAGACTCTGGAGAAGCTCTCCTGCTGAGGCCCATGTCTTGCCAGTCTGGGGCACCTGCGCAAGGGACTGGCTTCTTGGTACAGACACAGCTTCAGTCCTGAAGGAATGGAACAGCAACAGAACCCAAATGAGGGGCTGCCCAGCACCCTGAAGGCACCTGGCTTCAAGCCCAGCCCAGCCCCCACCCTACCCCACCTGCCCTCCAGAGCAGATCCATTTCCACTCTCTGCACCTGGCATCCTTCCTTTCCCAGGCAGGGTGGGGACTAAGGAAAACTGAGCTACTGGGAATGTGTTATTAGCTTTAGAATAAGGCAGCTGTATGGCTGGGCTTCCCGGAACCTGGCCACCTGCAGCTGCCGGGGAAACTGAGGCAGGTTCCCTCCCCCCCCCCAGCCTGAACTCATAATGGGGGCTGGATTCAGGAAACCAGTTATTTCTTTTCCAAGGGGAGGAGAAAAGGAACAAAATCTCTCTCCACTTCTTTTACAGAACGGGAAAACCAAAGCCAAGAAAGGGGGGAGACATGGTGGCAACTCCTCTGCTCCTCCCCACCCCCCAAATCTCTGACAACCCTGGGATTGTGTCATGGCTTCCCAATTCCAGATGTTATTTTTCTTCCAGACAAGCTCTGAGTCTCAGGTTAGATTCAAAATCCAGTGGGTCTTGAAGGCCTGACACAAGTCCTATTTCCTGTCTCAATTGGCACCTGGGGTGCCTCCCACCTGCCCAGGGGTGGGGACACAAGTATTCTCAAAAGCTCCCAAGGCAGGACAAAGCCCCCAAGGAAGGACTCATGCGTGCCTAGCTCTCCATGGGAAAGGATGCTGTACCGCCACCCCTGGGGTGCCTGTGGGCACCCACCCCCACCCTCCACCCCAGGACCTGACTCACTCCTACTAGCCAGCTCCTCTGCTTGCCTCCTACATGTAAGTTCAGGCTAGCAAGCACCTCTACCCCTGCAGGCTGGGTGCCCACCTACCAAGGACTTCGATGGCAAAAGGTGGCACAGACAGGGTCGCGGGTGCTGGAGCACTCACAGCGCCTTGGCAGAGAGCGGCGCCGGCGTCTTGGCGGGTTTCCCAGGCCGTAAGGAGCTGTCTGTCTGTGGGCGGACAGCCAGCAAGGTAGTGGTGTGGGACAAGGAGAGAGAGAGAGAGAGAGAGGATTAGATAAACCTTCATCATTGGCCAGCAGGGACTGTCCATACTACACGCTAAGACAGTCAATCATGTCATCTTTCATGGCAGTGAAAGGTGACCAATCTCTGAACTCTGGCTCTGCCCTTGTGCCCGGGAAGCCCTGGGCAGGCTCCCTCTTCTCTTTTAGCCTCTTGGCTCTGGTTCTGCTTTGCTCAGGAAGAGGAATCTGTGGTCCCACCCAAAGCTGTGAGCTGAGAGCCCTTCCAGTCCTTCTCCCCTCCCAAGAGGGAACCTGAGCCCAGGGGGCAAGGCTGGTCCTGTTTTCAAAGAAGGTTCTGAGCTAGCCCTGGAGGAAGGGAGGCCTCTGCATCTCACAGAACTGAGCACTCCCCTCACAGCTCCAATGCCCCCATCTCCTCCTCCACTTACCCTGGAAAGTCACAAATGTGCCCTAAAACTCTACCTTAAAATTTTTGTTTGTATGTAGTGTGTGTGTATGTGTGTGTGTGTGTGTGTGAGAGAGAGAGAGAGAGAGAGAGAGAGAGAGAGTAGAGAAAGATTGAAGACTCTATCTGGCCAAGGTGGCCTGAGCAGGTAGGGCCCCTGAGGCTGATCATACCAGCATCCTTGGGTGACAGAGCTAATTTTAGATGGTGTGGCAGAATTACAATCACTCCAGGTAGACACAGCACGCAGGGACTGGCAGGGTTCCCGCCCTGAGTGAGTGTTTGGATGCGGATTAGCTCCACACACTTACGTGCCAGGCTTCTCTTGCCTTATGCAATTTAGGGAAGGAATAAAAAAAAAATCACAAACACACACAGCAACTCCAAGCTGAGGTATGCAGAGGCCTGGAGGCGGCACGGCGCAGGCAGAGCGCTCAGCACCCAGCACCTACTGGGGTTAGAGAGGCAGGAGCACAGGCAGGTTGCTTGCCTGTCATCTAGGGACAGAGCAGTGCCTGCTTCTTGGGGAGCTTTGGGGGTGCTCAGGAGACCGTACTGCCCCTGCAGAGCTGGGCACAGGGCCTGGCACAGTTAAGATGCGTCTGCTGTCATTGATGATGCTATTCTTTGTGGAAGAAGTGTGGATGAGTATCCAGACTGGGCTGGAACCTACCACTTACTACCTTCCTATGTGATCTTTGTGAAGTCTCCTAACCTCTCTGAGTCTCAATATCCTGGTCTGGAAAATGGAGCCAACACTCTCCTAGCAGGGAGTCATGAGCATTCTCAGGAACCTCCCCCCTGCATATACCTGGCTCTGGTGGCTTCCACTTGGAGTTGAAACAGAAACTGCTTACTGCTTGTATTAGCACTATGCCCCCATCTGGAGGCCCAAAGGAGAGCCCCACTGCGGCAGATGCTCCCCAGCATGCCAGGGACCCTCCTCATACCCTTGTACCCCCACTAGGTCTCCATGGTGCTCACTCACCCAGCAGTATTCACCCAGATGATGTCCAGGTGGCAAAAGTAGACGCATTCCTTGTCAAGCCAGGAGCTACAGGAGCAACGTCGAGACCGCAGGTGGGCGCCACGGGTCTGGGCTGCGAGCTCTGGCGGCTCTGGGTTGTCAGCAGCCTGGCCCTTTCCTGTACACACAGGAGGGGAAGAGAGGCAGAGAGGTGGTCAGGGGCCAGCCCTCCTGGGATAGGGGACCTGCCAGGCTCCTCCTCTTGCACAATCAAGGAAGTTGGCACTCTGGCTGCTCAGGAGCTTCTGGCCAGCCTGGGGGAAGCCCCAGCAGCCCGGTGGGAAGGGTTAGCCCCTGCTCCAGGCTGCAGCAGTCTGCACCTGCACAGCACCCCATGCTGCTGCCATGGGCTCCAGTGTTATGCCCCCAGTTAATTTGGAGGAGCACTGCATCCCTGGGGCCGGGGTGGGGGATGGGGGGATGCTGAAGACCCTGCTATACTGACCCACCTCCCTCCGGGAAGGCAGCAGCAAGTGAGACCAGGCTCACCTTCGTGCAGGGCCACGAGCAGAGCCAGAGCCACGGAGTACCAGGCGGTGGGCGTGGAGACCATGGCAGCGGCTGAGTGCACAGCTGGACGGCTAGATGGAGCTGGGAGAGCGCCTGTTGCCAGTGACTTACTGCTAAGCTGAGCAGAGAGAGCTCATTGCAGCGGTGCCCAGGCAGCCTCTTATAACACCAGGCAGGGCCCCGCCCCTGCAGCTCCAGCCCGGCCCTGCTGCACCTTGGGCAGGGAGCCAGGGACACCGCCTCCTCCCAGGGTGCCTGGCCCGCCCTGGCCTCTCAGTAAGGGGTGGGGGGAGGGAGGTGGGAACCAGTGCTCCTCCCTCCAAGCTGGAGCACTTCTGGGAGTTCTGAAGCTCCCCAGCAATCCCCAGCACCCTCCTAGTCCAGGTGACTTCATGAACTTGCCCCTTACTACCTTCCCCACTCCCTCTGTGGCACTCTGTTAAGTTTGGAAGTGGGTGGAAGAGACCCTGCCACTGGACTCCCTGCCTGCCCTCTGCCTACAGCCTGAGGATGTCTCTCTGTTGTGTGGGAGATGAAAGGCCCACTCAAGTCCCTGTGGCCTTGGGCGAGTCAGAGCCCCCGCTGGGCTGACTGGCCTCAGCGAAGGGCACAGCTCACCCTGGACCTCTAATTAGCCTGGGGCTGCCTCATTCTCTCCTCATTCAGGAAATGCCACCACCCACCCCTTCTGTCCCCCTACCCCCAGAGCCTGGATGGAACAGACGTTCTAGTGCCTTCCGGAGGTAATTCAACTGTGTAGTCAAAGGCCAAGGTTATATCTCTCCTGGGCCTCCTTGTTTGCAAACAAGACCAAAAACAAGGGGCTTAAACTGGAGCCTTGAGGCTAAGCAGTGGATTCCAAGTCCTTTCTAGAAAGAGCTTCCTGAAGGCACGTATGTGCCAGCGGCCCTCAGTGGTCTCCCATCCTGGACATGGCAGGATGTCTTGACCCACCTCTGTGGCTACTGTATGCAAAAGAAAGTAGAAAAGAAATGTGCGGCAAGGCAGGGGCAAGGGCAGGGGCTCCCTGGGACAGGCATGCTGCTCCTGCTCCCTTTGCTGGTGCAGATGCTTTGCTGGGGACAAGAGCACAGGGCACTGCTGCTGAGCTGAGTACCCTTCCGTGCCTGCCCAGGCCTGGCTCAGAGTCCATTCCCCAGGATTTGCAGGGACCTTGACTCCAGGCAAACAAGAAAGGCCCTCTCAGTTCCTGGAAGTTCCAGGCCTGCCTAACTCATAGCAACAGGCCTGTTTTCCTTCTTGAGATCAAGAGCCCCAGGGAAGGCAGAGCCTTGTCCTCTAAGGAAGAGGGAATGCATTTAGACAGGTCTAGCTTTGAACTGTGGAACTCAGTTACTTGTTCATATAGTCAGCTCTTATTTTTTTGTCGATCGTGGGGCTTGAACTCTGGGCCTGGGTGCTGTCCCTCAGCTCTTCAACTCAAGGCAAGCACTCTACCACTTGAGCCACAGCACCACTTCCAGTTTTCTGGTGGTTAATTGGAGATAAGAGTCTCACGAACCTTCCTGCCTGGGCTGGCTTTGAACTGCAATCTTCAGATCTCATCCTCCTAAGTAGCTAGGATTATAGGCGTGAGCCACCAGCGCCTGGCCATAGTCACATTTGTAATAACTGTATTCAGTAGATATCCACGAAAGGAAAGTATATGACTGCAAGCAACAGATGATTTTGCTTTTTCCCATGCTCTAGATGCACACATGTGTGGGAGATCTCTTTAAAGTTGGGAAGAACCAATAGAAAGCAAGTTTCTTAGCAAAATCTTCCCTTTCCCAAAGCTGAGATCAGAGATAGGAAACAGGGCAATCATTTTCCTGAGCACCTATTATATGCTCAGGACACTCTACTGTTTCTTGCTCTTAGCAAGTCTCAGAGAAGACCAGAGCCTCCCTCATCTTCTCTCAGCCACACAGAGGGCACATGCCAGAGCTGGCACTGGAACCCTGATCTTGATCTAAAAAAAGAAAAAAAGCCAAAATCAAACTGGCTCCTTGTGGGGCTCACTGCCCGCCCCCACATCATGTCTCTCTAAGAATTTAGAAGAATATTTCTACAATGAGGTGAGCATTTCTGTGGGTCATTTCTATTAGCCTCTGAAAGAATATGAAGGCAAGACTTAAGCAAGAGAGGGGGTTGGAGAAAATGCAAACTATTGAGCCATGAAGAGAAGAAGGGAAAAGCAGGTCAGCAGGGAGAAGGCAGGGGTCAAGGTGGGGAAGAAAACAATCAAGAGATAGATAAAGACAGGTAGGGAGAGCAGAGAGAATGAGTTAACAGCATAGTGTGGAGTGAGAAAGAAATAGCTAGGATTTAAGAAAGTGAGGGAGAAAGACCATCAGGAGTCAGAGGCTTGGTTCTAACGTGTCTAATCTTCCCACAAATGTAAAACTGCTCAGGACAATAGAGAACCAGAGGCTCTGAGTCTGAGAAACATAATAGAAGACTTACATGGCCACAGAGACAGGATCCCTCCCTGGTGTGAAAGGAAGATGACGACAGGGCAAGGGCTGCTGCCCGCCTGGCAGGGTCAGCACGGATAGCTGCCCGCAGTGCTGGCTCTGGTTTCCCTGGTTTCCCTCTTTTCCCCTCCTCTCCTTGGCTGGGGCTCTGGCTGGACAGGTAGCGCTCCTTGTAATGGAGAGGCCTGCCCAGGAACCTGAGCGAGCCTGGTCTTAGGGGATGAAGCCATTCCGGGAACAACACTACCCAGCTCACCAGAGTTGGTTTCCAGGTAGAGAAAATTAAGCTGAGTTAAAAATAGCCAGCTCCAGCCTCCTGGATCTCTTAGCCTGGGCTGTGACAGTTACCTCCGCCACTCCTGATACATATGGCAGTCAGCCTCTGTCCCCTGTGACTATCTGGCTCTGCTGTCTCTGTTCCTTCTAGGTGGTCTGGCTATGTGTTCTTGCTATTGCTGGCTGGCTTGGCTACATGGTGTCCTGAGCCCATTTCTCTGGTCACCACTGGCCCTGATGTATCCCTACCCACAATCCAACTTGGCCCTGCTATCTGGATACCTGCCTGGGTTTCTATAGGCTGCAGGAGGAGACAGAAGTTCCTGACTTTTGCCCTGTCAGAATTTCCATGAGTATTGCCACCAGCCTAGTTGGAGAAGAAGGGGATGGAAAGTGATGAAGATGGTTGGGGTGTCTTTCTGAGTGAGACGCTAGGAATTACCCTGTAGAAATCCCCTCCATTCCTTATTCCCATCCTACAGATGAGATAACTGGGGCCCAAGGGGAGGAGCAACTGGCTCCAGACAGAAATGGGCCTGGGCATGTTCACTTGGATCCTAATCTAGCTCCACTCTTTCCATATACCCATGAGGCATTCTGAGGGTCCAGCTGGGTCCTGGATCCTGGGTCCTGTTGGGAAATGCTATTAGGAAAACTCCAATAGTAGGAAGGCAATGGCACTGGGATGAACCTGGGTGCTCTCTCTCTCTCTCTCTCTCTCTCTCTCTCTCTCTGTGCCTCAGTCTGCTCCCATCATCCCTGCGTGAAGTATGAATATGGCAGCATCCATTCACCAGAGACACTGTGCTGGATGCAGAATGCATAGAATGAGGATAAAACATTCTGAGATTAATGTCCAGCAAGGCATGGATGGTCTGGAATGGGCATCTGATCTCATAGATCAGGAGACTTTGTCTCAGCTCTGCTATTTAACACTGTGGCCATGAGCTAGTCTTGTCTGTGCCCTGGCCTCAGTTGTCCCGCCTTCCCACTGATGGTGAGAGGTGCTCTTGGCCTTGACTGTCCTTGACCCTTGGAAGCCAGCTGAGCTGAGTTTAAATCTCCCCCAGGGAAGACTATGGCTACATAGCTCTGACTCCCAGCTTGGACCTCCTGATTTCTCACCTCTGGAAATCCAATCATTTCTCCATCACCACCTGGCCCCATTGGGTTTCAGGAGGTTCTGTTTGCAGTCTGGATGGCAGGGACACAGTATTTCAGTTGCAGGTCCATACTGTGCAGGCAGTTAGCAGAGTGAGCCCCTGGGAAGAGGCTGGTCAAGGGCAGATGTCAGGAACCTTCAGGCCAGGGTGAATGGAGAAAGGTTTGCCCTGGAGCTAACCTGGGCTGAGTCTTAGGGACAGGGGTGTTCAGACATTCCCTTTCCCATTTGTCCTCCAGGCTGCAGTTTGGGCTGTCCCTACTCAGGCCTGGGGCTACTCAGCTTCAGGGCCTCCTGGTGGATGGTTTGGGCCTCTTGTCATCATCTTCAGCTCACCCTGCCCGTTTTGGGTCCCCACAGGGGCAGTGGCAGTCCTGTGGGACCAGCTCCCCTGTCCATGGCCTCCTTAGAGGATCCCTTGTTGCTTCCCCCCCTTCACTCCAGCCCATTTGGGAAGATTTATATCTCCCACATAAACTGTACTTTTAAAGGAATAATTTATATGCCTTGTTTGTTATTAATCTGAGAGCAATCAGAACAGGGTCATCGAGGCCCATGGAACTGCTGGAATTTCAGCTGAAAGCAGATATTGTTCAGTCAAAGCACCCTGGTCAAGTGGCCATGTGGATCCTGCTGGACTTGTTGAAACAGGAAAACCAACTCAGGCAGTCAGTATTTAGGATGGAAATCTCTAGGCTTCAAGTTTTTGAGTTTCCTCCAAGTGCCACAGACCTAATTTCCCACTTAGCCTTTTAGGGGTATAGGGTAAATGAGCCTTTATTTAGCACTTAATATATTCCAAGCCTTGTAACTTACCCACATTAGTGCCATTAGCTGTCATAACACATACCTGTAGGATATTGTAATTAGTCCCTCTTTTATAAATGAGGTGATATGCTCAGAGAGGATAACTGACTTGCCCAATGTCAGATTGCCAGGAATTGGCAGAGCTAAATTAGAAAGTTGGTCTGTGTTACTTTAAAGCCCAGACTCTGAACCTTGACTCTCCAGACTTTGGGGAATCCTCCATGGCAATTCTTCTCCAAGGAGACTTCCACGATTCTGCCAGGCAGAAAGCTTATACAGGCTTGGAAAGGAGGAAGCCCAGGAGCACAGACAGGTCTCTCA